ATACATTTCTAGCTAACAAAGAAAGTCGTGCGCGCCCGGACAACCACACCCGCTGCCCACATGCACAACACTTCCCTCTTAACCGTTTCGCATCTCCATCTATACATCATCAGACGCGCTGCCGCCGCCTAACGCATTATGCAACCACCGTCGCGACATTTCTAAACACAACCTACTATTTCTACAATCTGCAAACCACACTTTACACCGAGACATGACGATGGGTTGGTGGGGGATGTAAATAAAACTGAAGCTGAATGATCGAGACAAATCAGAATAGACGTGTTCTATAGACCGGTGTGAGCGTGCGCGCGCGCGCGCGTGCGTGTATATGTGCGTATGTACGTATGTACGTATGTACGTATGTACGTATGTACATGTACGTATGTACGTAGTACGTATGTACGTATTACGTATGTACGTACGCGTACGTACGTTGTATGTATGTATGTATGTATGTATGTAGCCTATGTATGTGTGCGCGCGTGTATGCGTGGGGGGGAGCACAGGGTGCGGTAAATCTCAGCGTCCGGGCGCATATAATATATAGTTATCAGCATGATTTTCTTACCGTATAATACCTGCATTAAATATTAGCTTTGTGTCATGACGGCATGACGCACGCCTCCAGTGCTGACGCAAACACCACTGACGCAAGAGCACCATGTTACGCACGATACAGCGCATGGCTGTACGCAGTCTCATGTTCGCACCTATTGAATAGAAACGGGGTACTCCTGTATATATGCCACAGTGCATATATATATGCAGTGAATGCGCTAATATCAGACATCTAGTAATAAGTTTAATGAAATAGGCCTCTGCTGTATATCGTAAACGTTTACAATCGTGTGTTATTATTATTTATTTTATTTATTCTTTATTGCACGTAATTCAAAAAAAAATACATGTAGGGGCCACTGAAGACGGTCTTTTCACGGGAGTATTTTTTTTTATAGATGCAATATAGTGTTCAGGCAGTTAAAATAATAAAATTCTGAATAATCAGTACAAAACATTAAGGCTATACAACATGAAAAATTGTGATACAAAAACGATAGTAGGGCCTACTTTCTGTACAAGTAACTTTAAAATCATTTCAACGCTCATACGTCCTCACAGGCATGCACTCACTCTCGTATAAAACCACACCAATATATACACATTCACACATTACACCCATATTCACACACACACGCAGACCCCCCCCCCCCCACACACACACACACGCACACATACTCACATAGTTGTGATATTGTTATTATTATAGTATTGTTTATATTTGTTTCATACAGTTTTGGAGAAGAATGGCGTAGAACGTATTAATATTAAGAATGAAAAGACGATTATGTCTGAGCTATTTTGGACTTTCGTGGGCGGATATATAGTGTCATTTATGTTTCGGTTATTTATGCATAACTCGTTACATTTGACTCCATATAGTTAGCACTTGGCTATATAAAGAATGGTTTTGAGAAGAACCTTAGGAACTCCCTGGCCACCATGCCACACTACCCAAGAAGTGCAGAAAATCGCACTGCTGGGAACAGCACACATCCTGCGAAAAATTCTGGATTGAATCCCTATGTCCCATGTTGGGACACGGCCAACCCAGAAGCCAGCGGCTAATGCTGTGATCCACTTTGGAAATAATAATAATAATAATAATAATAAATAATAATAATAATAATAATGCTGAATAGACAGGGTCTGGATTTTACAGTATATAAACACAACACCATCAGCCACCCTGCTCTACACGGATGACCTCAAACTGTTCACAAGAACGAATATGAGTTAGACGGCATTGTAACAGTCAAAGCATCAGTGATGACATCAAAATGGAGTTCGCTTGGAAAAGTGTGCAACCGCAATCTTAAAAGGTGGTAAGCTAGTAAAAAGTCGAAATATCGAGCTTGATGGCAAGACGGCCCTACAAAAGTCTGAATCACAAGGACACCTACAAATATCTTGGGATAGACGAAAAGCGATGGTATTCATTATGCAACGATGAAGGAGAACATTGCTAAGGAGTACTATCGCCGAGTCCGCCTAGTTCTCAAGTCTGAGCTCTGCTCAAAAAACAAGATAACAGCGATCATATCCTGGCACTCCCGGTTCCCGTTGTACAGCTTCGGGTGATCAACTGGTTGCGATCAGATATCGAAAGGATGGATCGACAGACAAAAAAAGCTACTAACCATATATATCGGGCTCCATCACCCAAAAGCAAACGTAGAGCGACTGTACATCAAGAGGCAAAATGGTGGTCGTGGTTTCATTGAACTGATGTCTGCGTATAACACTGCCATTGGAGGTCTAGGCGACATTGAGCTTAAGAAAGACAAATTTACAAATCTATATCAAAATCCATCAGTCTCGAAACATCCACGCACGCTCTCGATCTTACGCGAGCTAAAGAAATCCAAAGCAAATACTTGTCTCCCTCAGGCCACCGGCCAATCCTCAACAAAGCAGAGACTGAAGGCCAATATGGAGCAGAGAGATGATCGAAGTATTGAAGAAACAAGCCTTTGCATGGAAGATTCTACAAGAGCCCCGACAGGCCATTGTCAATAAGATTGCACGCTACCTGGCTGAGTCTTCCGGGCTCAAAGGGAGACAGAAAGCCTGATCATTGCAGCCTAAGACCAAGCACTCAACACCAGAACCATCGACTCAACATCCTCAAGCAACAGGTCAACAGCAAATGCAGAATGCGCAGCAGGCAGAGGAGACCATCAGCCACATTGCGGATGCACAGTGCTGGCCCATGCAACGAGTACACAAAGCCCCATAACTTAGGTAGCCAGCTATCTGCACTGGTCAATCTGCAGTGAACTGTGAGCAAGTACCTGACAAATGGATATAACATACTCAGAGACCAGTTACCAACATCAAAGATCCTACCATAATGTGGATGGCAGTGCAGACAGATCGCACATACCTGCAAACCGCCCCGATATAGTGCTCCACAACAAGAAGACAAACGATGCGTGCTGATTGACGTAGCCGTACTCAGATGATACTAACATCATGGTGAAGGAAAGAGACAAACTCGATCACCAAGTACAAAATCTGGAGATCAGAAATAAGCAGGATGTGGAATACTTAGACGACAATTGTGCCAGTGGTGTGTGGAGCACTTGGCTCTATAAAGAATGGTTTTGAGAAGAACCTCAAGGAACTCCCTGACACCACACTGCCCAAGAAGTGCAGAAAATCGCCACTACTGAGAACAGCACACATCCTGCGAAAACTTCTGGATTAACCACTATGCCCCAGGTTGGGACACGGCCAACCCAGAAGCCACTGGCTAATGCCGTGATCCACTTTGGAAATAATAATAATAATAACAACTAGAGCACTCGGAGAGCGCAGACCTCCGCCAAGGCAGCTGAATTCTCTCAATGTGAAATGTATTTATTAAGTAATTAATTAATTAGTTAATTAATTAAATAATTAATTGGATCCGCCAAAATGTAATCAATTCTAAGTTTTACCCCATTTCTGACCTATCCTGAAAATTTAATTAATTAATTAATTAGTTCATTAATTAATTAGTTAATTAATTAATTGGATCGGGATCACCACCAAAATTTAATCAATTCTAAGTTACCCCATTTCTGACCTATCCTGAAAATTTTATTATTAATTAATTAATTGGATCCGGATCACCGCCAAAATCTCATCAATTCTAAGTTAGCCCATTTCTGACGTATCCTGAAAATTTCATGACAATCCGTCCATAACTTTTCCAGTTAGGCTATACACAAACCCACAAACCAACAAACACACGCCGGTGAAAACATAACCTCCGCCAAGCCCCTGGCGGAGGTAATAATAATAACATAATAATAGCAGTAATAACTCTAATAACACCAACACTAAGATATATTATATAGCTATATAAGCTATATATATATATGTACATAGTTGGTGATATTGTTATTATTATAGTATATATTGTTATATTTGTTCATACAGTGTTTGGGGAAGAATGGCGTAGAACGGTATTATATTATTACGGTATTATTACGGTAGAACGGTAGTAAGAAGAAAGACAATTATGTCTGAGCTATTTTTGGACTTTCGTGGGCGGGTATATAGTGTCATATATGTTGCGATTATTCATGCATAACTCTTAAACTTTTGACTCTTCATAGTTGGCAGCAATCGACGGACTGGTAACTTTCCGCGCTGATACGTTTGCTGTACATGAAACAATACCAGAGCGTGCGGTTAAAAATAGTACATGCTCGTTTTATTTTCGACTTTAACATTTTACATGTTATTTTTATAAGCGTGCGCACCGAATTATGTTATGCCGGTACCTTGTTTCGTACATGGGAACAATGGCCTCCGCATGAGTGGCATTCTGTCAATTTTCTGTGTCTCGAGTAATTGACCGATTGCGTTCATGGCATCTAATCCGGAACACACCAAACTTTTACGAAAGAAGCACTACCAAGCGTTATTTTATTTCAATTTTTAAGATTACAAACACACGCTCAGGGCACATTTTTTTAATAGAATAATAGAATATTATTTAAGAAGTAGGCAGCCGTAACGTTGTATATATATATTTATTCAAACCGTGAAGTCGCGCGTAGCAAATAAGAAATTCATTTAAAGAAATGGTTAAAATCGTATATACCGCAGCAAATAAGACATCTGCTTATTTCGAATATTGTTACATTGTTAGTGTATATGACAAAGTGGAGTAACTTTATTTATATATATACATTTTTCATTTCGCGTTGTCGACGCTGCGAAGCTTCTACACGCTGCTTATAGCGGACGTATAAATAGATGCGCGCGCAGCTAACACGCGATATGCACGTGAAATGCGGTGATGTTTAACATTATCCCAGTAGGTGGCACCACCGAGAGAGCGCAGTTATCGTCATAGCTGCGGTTGGAATTTTCCTCTTGTCGTTGCCTGTTTTGCTGTGTGCTGACAGGCGATACCATCTTCCTATAATACTTCATTTTACACCGTTAAAATGAGTTCAGGATCGCTTAGAAACCTAATTGGAACCGGTAGCTCTGGAAATCTAAATCCACATGTCTTGCCACCATCTGTTCAGGTATGTATTGTTAGGCATTTGAAATGAATTGAATTCGTATGTGATCAGCGTTTAGTAATTTTCCATAGTGCTCAGTAAGTGGATGGTGTGCCTGTTTTGCTCCCTCCCACCTTAACAGTAACACTAACAGTAACACGCTGGCAAACGCTTTTGGTTTCTGGACTAATTATAGCTAACAGTACCGGTGGAGGTAGTAAATTGAACGTACAAATTCTAAAATAAATCCTCCTATCCTTTGATTCGGTCATTTCTTAGTCTTGACACTACCAGCGACAGCGTGATCATCACATATATTGATTTCATGGTGAAATTTCGTCATGTACTCGGCGTACAGAATGTTCACGACGTTCGCAATCTGACGTAATTTGCAAAATAATTTTTCGAAATGTTCGTGGGGTTGTGAAAATACGCAGGAAATTCATTGATTTCATAATCATGATAGCAAGCTGACATGCTTGAATGGCATTCCAGAAAGAGAAAGGGCTTGGTCGTCATGTGGTAGAAACAGATCCTGTCTGATAGTGATATAGCTAGTGAGCACGACTGTTATAGAGTCATGTGAGGATAGTGATTGTTAGGCCAGTACAGGTGTTGGATAAGGATATGGTAGATATACCGCTCTGTAACTGCACTCGGACTTCTAAATGTCTTTGCACTGTTCGACTTAGACATACAATTTCTGACTCATTCAGTGTTAATATATCTTCTAGTAATTAAAAAAAAAATTCTGCTCAACTTTCAGTTCATTAAGAAAGATGTAGTTGTCTATTGTCTAGTATATCTCATTATCTACTCGGTTAAAATGGCTTTTGGTTGTAAACACAGGCTTTTCCCTCTTGCATGTTTCTGGGATATCATTTGTTGGTGTGATCATTAATAATATTGCATTAACTCTTCTTTTCCATGTGCCGTGCATGCTTTTTTTGTGCAGTGTTAATCACTAGCTGCAGTGCCTATCATCAATACTGACCAACCGAGGGAGATTCGATACGCACACACACAGTCAACAGTATTTCTATGCGTACTGTTCGCTTGCACCGATAAGCTTGAAGATTGGACTAACTACGCCTACAATTAGTGTGTTTGTGAACATTTGAGGCGGCCTATAACCTGAACTAGACCCGCCTGGTGCTATATAAGAGTGTGGCGATGTCGTCCCCATCTCTGGCGTCATCGGGCGATTCGAACGTATCACTGAGTAAGGGACCGAGGATCGAGTTACCTGATGGCGACCACTCCCATGACGTCCTCTCTAACCTCCAGGTTTGTACCATCGGGACTTTCCTGCTTACACCCATCTGTGCAGCCCTACTAAATGTGGTGGTGTGTTTGTCATACCGTGTTTGTCAAGCCATACATGTGGACATTAAAAAACAAGCCGTCAAAGAGCAAAAAAAGAGATAAACAGAATAATTGTGAAATAGAGAGAGGGGGGAGAGTATTCTCCTGAGTGGTGGGAAAAGGAATGCGAGGGAGGGGAAAGTTTTACATGTTATATTTGTTACATTAGATGATACACACTGAAAAAAATACACGGGGGCTCGGGGCGATTTAGCCTCCGAAATGCCAAAAAGAGCCCCGGAAATGGCAAAACGAGCCCCCGTAAATTTGCATATAGAGTTCAATGCAAACCAAATTTTAGAGTGTTATTTTCATGCACGCGAGCTTGAAAAGTAGCCCCCGAAATTTTTTTAAACATTTTTTCCCTGATGATATATGTTATAATGTATGAATACAATTTGTAGATGGAAGAGGTAGCGGGGGCGTATCTTCTCAAGAGAGTACCACGCTACAAATGAACCTCTCCATCGATCTTGTTTGTTCTACGTGAATAAATCCTACAGGTGTAATCTGGTTGTAATTTTGTGAAAGAATCAACCCCACCTGGGGCCATGCATGCATCCATGGGATGTACACAGAACATTCATATTCCAATGTTTTCTATGGACTCATACGATAAGTCTTTCATGATTTATATTAGAGGAATATCAATTTGATGTTTCGTCTAAATGTGGAACAATACCATTAAAATACTCCTAGTTTTCAGTAACCCATCCCAGTATTTCAAGAGTTGTGATACTGTGTAGGCAAAACAATTAGGATGTTCTGCACACATAGTATAGTGATTTACTTATAGAGCAAAATTATATAATAAACAAAAATATCACAGGAATTAACTTTAAAATTCTGTTTGTCAGTAATTTAACTGGTAGCTCAGGTTACAAAAAACATATTTATGAAGCTCATTGCCTATTCCTGTGTTTCTGTATATTTGTGTCCACTTCTGCACATATATATGTGAGTACATGTGAATGTGCCCTAGCATGTACGTGTGTGCGTGCATGCATGCGTGCATGTGAACATGTTGCTGTGCGCGTGCGCGTGCGTGCATGCGTGTGTGTGGGCGTATGTTCGTGCGTGTGCGCTTGGATGTGTGTGGGATTGGGAATGTATACATGTATGCGTATGTCAGTTGCGTGTGTGTCAGTGTTTGCCACTGAGCAGAAAAATCTGTAGGCCTGCGGGGCCTATAGCTCCTAAAAGTTGCAGGCCCGCCAGAAAAGAGCTCTGTAGGCCCGCCAATTTTGGAGCAAATTACAGTAATAAAACAGCATATCATGCTCTTCCTTGTGTTTATTAGTCATTATCAGTGTCCATAATCATAATCCCTCTGTTTTTCCTTCAGTACGTACGTACGTACGTACGTACGTATGTATGTATGTATGTATGTATGTATGTATGTATGTACGTACGTACGTACGTACGTACGTACGTACGTATGTATGTATGTATGTATGTATGTATGTATGTAGGCCTATGTATGTGTGCGCGCGTGTATGCGTGGGGGGGGGGGCACAGGGTGCGGTAAATCTCAGCGTCCGGGCGCATATATATATAGTTATCAGCATGATTTTCTTACCGTATAATACCTGCATTAAATATTAGCTTTGTGTCATGACGGCATGACGCACGCCTCCAGTGCTGACGCAAGCACCACTAAGCTGCACCCATGTTACGCACGATACAGCGCATGGCTGTACGCAGTCTCATGTTCGCACCTATTGAATAGAAACGGGGTACTCCTGTATATATGCCACAGTGCATATAATATGCAGTGATGCGCTAATATCAGACATCTAGTAATAAGTTTAATGAAATAGGCCTCTGCTGTATATCGTAAACGTTTACAATCGTGTGTTATTATTATTTATTTTATTTATTCTTTATTGCACGTAATTCAAAAACAAATACATGTAGGGGGCCACTGAAGACGGTCTTTTTCACGGAGTATTTTTTTTTATAGATGCAATATAGTGTTCAGCAGTTAAAATAATAAAATTTCTGAATAATACAGTACAAAACAATTAAGGCTATACAACATGAAAAATTGTGATACAAAAACGATAGTAGGGGCCTACTTTCTGTACAAGTAACTTTAAAATCATTTCAACGCTCATACGTCCTCACAGGCATGCACTCACTCTCGTATAAAACCACACCAATATATACACATTCACACATTACACCCATATTCACACACACACGCAGACCCCCCCCCCCACACACACACACGCACACATACTCACATAGTTGGTGATATTGTTATTATTATAGTATTGTTATATTTGTTCATACAGTGTTTGGGGAAGAATGGCGTAGAACGGTATTAATATTAAGAAGAAAGACGATTATGTCTGAGCTATTTTTGGACTTTCGTGGGCGGATATATAGTGTCATTTATGTTTCGGTTATTTATGCATAACTCGTAAACATTTGACTCCATATAGTTAGCACTTGGCTATATAAAGAATGGTTTTGAGAAGAACCTTAAGGAACTCCCTGGCCACCATGCACACTACCCAAGAAGTGCAGAAAATCGCACTGCTGGGAACAGCACACATCCTGCGAAAAATTCTGGATTGAATCCCTATGTCCCATGTTGGGACACGGATACAGCCAGAAGATGACAACATCATAGTTCTAGGTGATCTTAATGCTCGTGTTGGCATAGACTGGAAATCATGGCCATCTGTCATCGGTAAACACTGGCGTGGTACCGTAATATGAATTCAAATGGACTAATGCTATTAGAGTTCTGTACCAATTTCAGCGTACAATCCTGCGTACAATGTTTCAACTTAAAGACAGCATGAAGAAACACATGTTGGCAGCACTGGCATCAGATTGACTATGTACTTAGCAAATCAGTGGCAGAAGCAACACGATCATAGCTGACCAAAGTCATCAAACGCTTCACTGATCACAAGTTGATTGTTTGTAAGTGTCATTTCTCCATAAATACAATACTCTGGGGGCTGGGCTGAGTTGTATGCATTTATGATGTGAAAAACCATTTTTATATGAGTAGTATAGGTCCTAGGCTAAAAAAATTGGGTTCTTGCTCAAAATCCCTATAGAAAAATATATAATTAATATTTAAATTTAAATTTTTATTTTTAATTAAATTAAAATTTAAAATTTTTAATTAAAATTTAATATAAACAATTTTAATAGAGGTTTTTTTGGGGGAGGGGAACACGGGTTAAAACAATATAAATCTATATGAGGAGTCTCTATCAAGTGATTATCAAGTTCCTATACGTCT